TTCAAATTCCAAATAAAGGACTGATTCTTCAAATAAGAAAGAAAGAAAGAAAGAAAGAAAGAAAAGAAACTGTTTCAACCAGACATACAGATGCCCAAATTTAATCATCTATTTTTCAGGAAAAGCAACAGCCTTACTGATATTTGGAATATAAATACTGATGCTTGGAATACACACACACACATACACACACACACACACACATATTCAAATTCCAAATAAAGGACTGATTCTTCAAATCAGAAATGGAGCAGAAAAGAAACTCGTGAAGCAGAACGAGGATTCCCACTTAAAGGAAAAAAGACCGGAAGCCTGCACTGCTCTGACCCCATGACAAGAAGCAAGAATACATATTAAGCGATCATACAACCAGTTGGGGCTGGGAGGCTCCCCAGGGGGTCAGAGAAGCGCTGGGATGCCCACTTACTTGCACTGCTGAGCTGGCCCTTCTATAGGTAGGGCTGGACGCCTGCGCCAACCACCGTGCAGCCCTCGCTGGCATCTGTCAGGGGAGGGCAGTTAGTGAGAACCTAGCCTCACCATCCCTAGGATGGCCTAGCCACGCACCTTTCAGACCCTCCAGCCTGGCATGCAGGCCCGCACTTCATGGCCAGTCCCGGCCTTCATGGCCACTATCTGAGACAGATGTTGGCTATTTCACTATGTTCCCCTTGCTTTCTTTCCCTTGGACCTCCTTTCTCTGGTTGCCTGAATTATGAGCAACTGAGGCAATATGGAAACAGGAGAAGAAAGGGGGATTTTTTTATTTTCTAAATTGAAGAAATTGGGCCTCTGAGAGCAACTGAGAACTTTTCTTTTCCTTTTATCCGAAGGCAGGGAAGGGGATTTGGCGGAGACCCTACTTAACCAGTAGCACTCACCAACACACCCAAGCTTAAGCTTAGTCAGCAGGGAGACAAGCTGTAATTTGCATTTTGAGGCAATAAGTATTTGCCAAAACTAAAACGGTCATGATGATAATATTAATAGTAAATTAAATAAAGAGTAAATAATCACAGGGTAGCTCTGGAGGGAAGGCCCAGGCCTCTTCCTTTCACTCTCAACGCTCCACCCCCACCGTCTTTCCCTAATTCCAAAGAGTAGCTCAACCTTCTTGCTTTACTCTTGTAAGAGGCACCCACTTCTAGAACTGTTATGTGGTGGACTACCCCCGCCCTTTCCCTGGGATTCTGGGCAGTTCTAACCAACCAGGGTCCCTCCCTCAGCACCCAGAGGGCGTCGGGCAGCCTACCTTTCTTGGTCTCGTAGCCACCGCCCGGGGTCCGGTAGTGCTGCTCCAGTGGGTGCGCGCCCGCCTTGCCCGCGTCGCTGGCCGCCTTAGGCGCTGCGTGCAGAGTCTCGCCGGGGGCCGTGGCCGCCGCATTGTACCGCAGGAGGCCCTGGCCCTGCAGCGCTGCGTTCAAGTTCCCGTAGTTTGTGTAGCTGCCATAGAAGGGCGTCGTATAGTAGAGGTGGCGGCCGAGCAGCGGCGAAGCGGGGTAGGGAGAACCGCCCGGAGGTGCGCCCGAGGAGGCGGGTGCCGCAGCCGCTGGCAGTCCCGGTGGCCCGCAGCCCGGGCCCAGGCTCGTTTGCTTGAGGTCCGATGTGGCGATCTCGGCCAGCGACCACAGCTTGGGCTTGCTGGTGGGTGGCTGTGCACCAGGTGACGTCCGGCTGCCCAGGGGCGTCTTGCCGCCGCCGCCGCCGCGGGGCGCGGCATCGGGCGGGGGGCTCAGCAGCGGCGCCTCTACGCCTGTAAGTGGGGACGAGGTCACAGGCTTGGGCGGCGCCAGGTCCCGCTCACACTCGTCCTCCTCGTCTTCGTCGTCCTCCAGGTCGTCGTACTTGTCCTTGCACTCCGAGCCAGACTCGCACAGGGGGTCCCCGGCTCGGCAGGGCAGTTTCTCTCCATCTGACTCGGCTGAGCACGAGTGATCGGTGAGCGAGTCGACGTGCAGGCTGATCCCTGCCAGGCGCGGGCACAGAGGGTGATTCGCAGGGACAGTGCAGGCAGCCAGAACATCAGCCCACCCCTGGGATCCCTCACCTAGCCCCAACCGCAGCCACGTGTGAAGGGGACTCCGACCTCTCCTAAGCGCCCGGAGGAATCCCTAGGCCCAATTCGCGGGCCAAGCAGTGTTAGGCCGCCGCTTTCCGGGCCAGGATCTGGGGTTTCCCCAGGGAAGCATCCTACCAGACCTCGCACTGCGCCCCGCCTGGGAAGAAAGTTCCCTAAGACCTCGCGCCCGCCGCGGCCTGGCTCACCTTCGTCCTCGGCAGAGGTCTCCGTGCCCTCCTGCACCTTCTCGGGACTCTCCTCCTTGCTCCTAGCAGCGTCGCCCTCATCCTCATCCTCGTCCTCGCTTTTGTTTCTCGGGGCCCACGTCATCTTGTTCTCCTTCTTGAGGCGCCGGCGCGCGTTGGCGAACCAGGTGGAGACCTGCGTGAGGGTCATTTTGGTGATGATGGCCAGCATGATCTTCTCGCCCTTGGTGGGGTACGGGTTCTTGCGGTGCTCGTTCAGCCAGGCCTTGAGCGTCGCTGTGGCGTCCCGCGTGGCGTTCTTGCGGTATGCCGGGTCGTTGAGCTGGTATGGGTAGGCCGCGCTGCCATAGGGGTGGTAGCTGATGGCGCCGGTCATCCCAGTTGTGTGCGCGTCGTAGGGTGCACCCTGGAAGCGAGGAGAGACTGTGAGTGCTGCGAGACCCAGCCGCTTCATCGTCCAGGCGAACCGCTGCGCCCCCCACCCCGCCCATCCACGGCCGCCCTTCCTCCTCTGGTTCTCCCGCGCTTGGATCGTGCTTCCCTGCAGCAAAGGAGCAGTGACCACGCAATGGAGGACTTAGGGTCGGTTGTGGATCACACAAAGTACTTTAGTGTTATTCTCGAATTTATGAACTCCTTCACTTTTCTAAAACGATATACCTTCCCCTAAATGTTTCCCAAGCCGCGCGTACAAAGTACACAAACAAGAGCGCCCAAGCGCTCAGGCCTCCAGGTAGTTTCTTGATAACTAAATTTCTCCGAATGCTTCGAGCGCTGCCCCCTCCCCGCACTCCCCCTTCCCACCCTTATATGGTTAAAAATAACACCCCAGAGCCCCCACTCCACTATTCACCGCTCTAAAGCTCGGTAAATCCAATTTGCAACTCAGAAGCCAGTCACCGTTTCGAATTCTTCAAATACGCGGTAATTAGCATTTTAATTCACCCTTTAACGTTTAAATTCAAGACGTTTGCAGCCTTTGCTAGGCCTCAGCTACTCAGTCGCTGCCCTGGAATTCCACCGAGGGCGAGTGGTGGCTACAACCCGGGTTAGGGCCTCATTTGCCCGAAAAGTGTTTCAACCCCATCCGGGCCCAGCTGCGCAACCCAGAGGCGCGCGGGCCGACGCCGCGGAAGCAGGAGCCGCTCTCGGTGCACCGAGGACTCCTACAGCACTTGGCGGTCCCATGCCGGCCAACACGTTTTTCGAAAGTACGGTCTGGGAGACAGATTAAGGCCAAAATTAGGGCGTGTCGGGCCGGGCGCTGGAACCGCAGCCAGACGCTCTGTTCTCTTCCAACTCTGTGACCCCGCTGCCCCAGGCCGGGCAACTAAATACGAATCGCCCGGCAGCCGCCGCGGAGGCCCCAACTACGCCGACCCTCGAGCCCCAAGCCAATGTGAGCGAGCCCCCGGCACGCTCCGGATCCCTCAGTAGACTGCAGGCGTGAGCCAGGGACAGCCTAAGATAGACCCGGCCCCGGTGAAGTCGCGCTTCCAGGCTCTCAAAGACTATTATCCTGGGAGCCGAGGGGAAGCGCCACCGGCTTCCTTCCCGCTCTCGCGGCTCTGCCTATCACTCCGGCCCC